CCTACAAAATAACATCAAAACACACAAAATGAATAAAAATGAATATAAAATAATTAAAAATTTGTAATTTCGTTAAGCCGAAGCACTCAATTCGTAAGTATAAAATCCACTCATCAAGGGGAAAAGAAGCTAAGGTAAGACCTTAATTCCTAAAGTAACAAAAGCGGAAAGTCTAGAAATTAAATAACCACCTCGAACTTGAGGGATCCAGAACGAAAGAAAACAACGAACAGAACAAGGGACGTACCTAGATGAGAACGATCGATAAACCAGGAGCCAAGGGAAAGTCTGAACAGATTAGGTTAGCCACATAAAGCCTTTGGAGAAATTAGGGATTTTTTTGAAAACCCTAGATCCTCGACGAAATTAGGAGGACGAAGTTACAAAGGAAATAATACAGGCAAAAGATAGAATGTGAAGAGGGTTTGAAGAAACAAAAGACGATTTTTGTCTGCAACCGCATTTAAAGGCAAGAGAACATGGACCCTCGAAATAAGGAACGTGCACAAGAAATGAGAAAAACATGATTACACGATCGTCACAACCGTTAGAATGAAGTCCCATCATGCAAAAATCGAGGTCGACCCAGACGACCTCACTCTTGGCATAATCCCTGCCCAAATCGATTTGTTTGATCAGGCACTAGGGGGCAACTGATGGTACCACAAAATATCTAAGGATGAGCTCGATTTCCCAAGTCAGCTACTCAGCTCGGGAGCTCAGCTCATCAGTATTACTAGTGGACCTCGATCTTAGACCTCAACTCTATGTGTCCATATCTCAAGGAAGTTTGTTCAAAGGATAGTTGGATCCCACAAAGTCCCCCCATCTTTCTGGCATCAATCACCCAACAGGCGCAAGTCTCGTTGCACAATAAGGGGCAACTGTTACAAGGAAAGGGGCAAGGATCTTGCCCTAGATCAAGCAAGGCCCAGGAATATCTATAAATAAAAGGCAAAGCCCTCTAGAAAAGAGAGACCCATTGTAGCCTTTCAAAATATTCTCTATAAACCACACCCAGTTATTAATAGATTCAAGAGCAAGAGAATCCCTTAAGAGTGGATTAACCGAGTTCTTGTGCTGGTGAATCACTATAAACACTGTGCGTAATTATCCACTAGTCCAAACACCCTATTCCTTAGAGTCTTGGAGCTCAGACTGAATTTCTCAATACATCTTATATTCATACCTCTGTCCACTCGTATTAATTACATCATCACTTACTATGGATTCTGACAACTGCCAATTAGTATTTAAAGTAGCTAATTTTTTTGATGAGTTGCATAGACCAGTACGAAGGAATAAATTTCGCTTTGAACTAATGTGGTTGTCTGATCCTGCGTATGCTGAAGTAGTGAGCAATTGCTGGAGAGCTCTGGCCTTTGGAAGCCTAGAGAAGTGTTTTAGGGATACAATTAGGGCTTGTCGAGTTGGTTTGCTTAAATGGGAGGAACGCTTAGTTTGAGATTATGGAGGGACAAATAAATAATAATAGGGAGATAATAACAAGATTGCAAGCAGATATTGTAATAGAGGAAAGTAGAGAAGAGCTTAGATCATTGCATGCTAAATCTCACCAGTTGCTTGAAGCAGAGGAACTAAAATGGAAACAAAGATCAAAAGCTCTATGGCTTAAGGAGGGCAATAGAAACACAAGGTTTTTTTCATGCTCAAGCATCCATGTGAAGGCAAAGGAATGTGATTAGGGGGACTTAAGTATGATTTGGGGTGTGGACTACACATCCCAAAAGAATGGAGCAAGTTATTGTTAATTATTTTAAAGGTTTGTTTAGCTCAAGCAATCCTACACAAGCACAGATATCCTCGGTTATAGATTGTGTCTCCCCAAAAGTTTCTGACGAGATGAACTAGCTTCTATTAAAAGAGTTTCATGCAGAGGAGATAATTGATGTAGTCAGGCAGATTCATCCTTCTAAGTTGCCAGGTCCAAGTGGTATAGGTAATGTTTTTTACCAAATTTTTGGTCAATTATGGGAGAAAGTTTTGGAATTTCTAATCAATGGAGTGTTTTGTAATAAGCTTAACTACACTCATATTGTGCTTATCCCAAATGTTGAATCTCCTATGGATATGACTCAGTTCCGTCTTATAAGTCTGTGCAATGATATTTATAAGGTGATTGCGAAATTCCTCACCAATAGATTAAAGATGATTTTATTGAAGTTGGTCTCTATGTATCAAATACGTTTGTGCCCGGGAGGTTAATCACAGATAATGTTCTAATAGCTTATGAGCTTAACCACCATATGAAATGGAAAATCCCTAGAGACAAAGGTTATATGTCTCTGAAACTTGATATAAGCAAAGCATATGACAGGGTTGAGTGGTGCTTTTTGGAAGGAATTATGCAGAAATTGGGTTTTGATGCTAGATGGATTGGGCTGGTTAAGACATGTGTTAGAATGGTTTCATACTTTATAATGCTCAATGGAGAGCATTTTGGCTATTTTCATCCAAGAAGAGGGTTGTGTCAAGGAGATCCCCTTTCTCCGTATCTGTTTTTATTATGTACTGAGGGCTTTTCGGATTAGCTTCATGATGATGAGATAAGAGGTGTTTTACAAGGGCTTTTGGCATGGCGTAGAGGGCCTATTTTCTCTCATTTTCTTTTTGCAGATGATAGCTTATTGTTTGCCAGAGTAACGTTGGAGAATGATACCACTACAAAGGAGTGTTTATAGTGTTATGAGAATGCCTCGGGTCAAAAAATTAACCTTTCTAAGTCGGCAATGGTTCCCATTAGGAACGTTAGTCTCTCGACTTTGAATGTTATCCAAGAGTTGTTATAAATTCCGTTGGTGAATGCACATGATAAATACTGGGGATTTCCTGCAATCTCAGGAAGATCAAAGAAGGAGATTTTTGATTCAATCAAACATAAATTTTAGGAGAGAGTTCAAGGTTGGCAAGGTAAGCTACTGTATAAGGTGGGCCTAGAGGTTCTTATCAAGGTGGTAGTACAAGCAGTACCTACATATGCTATGTCATGTTTTAAATTACGCATCTCTTTATACTATGAATTGAATAAAATGGTTGCTAATTTCTGGTGGAGTCAAAGCTCGGTTGCTAGAAAAGTTCATTGGTTGGCTTTGGATAAGCTATGTAGGGCGAAGAATAAAAGAGGATTAGGCTTCAGGAATATAGCAGTCTTTAACCTTGCACTCCTTACATAACAGTTTTGGAGACTGCTCAAAAATCCGGATTCAATGCTTTTCAAAGTTTTGAAAGCAAAATTCTTCCCGAATTCTGCCATTATGGAAGCTTAACTTGGTTCGTGTCCTTCCTACACTTGGAGGAGTATTTTTGGAGTCGTGGAAGGGGTTAATGATCTAAATATTAGAGTGAAAGCTACTCGCTGGGTGCCACGACCTTCTACTTTTAAAGTTGTTAGCCCTCTGCCAAATTTGCTACAGGATTCTCTTGTTAATGTTCTAATAGACAATGATAAAAAATGCTAGAAGATGGACGTATCGAGACAACAATTTCTAGACTTTGTAGTAGAAATTATAGCATCTATTCCCATTGTTGAACAACTTCCTGAGGATATATTGGTATGGCACTACATAAAGTTTGGTGAAGTGTCTGTCCGAAGTGGGTATCATCTAGTTATGGAATCGGGCCTCCAAAATAATCATGCCTCGGATAATCATTGCCTATTTGGAAGCTGCAAGTGCCCAATAAAATTTAGCACTTTTTTGTGGAGGGTGGCTCAAGATATCTTACCTACATAATGCAATCTTCTCCGAAAACGAATGGGTGTGGACAATCTTTGTTACTTCTGTGGATTATCCAATGAATCCATTGAACATATTTTTCTAATGTGCTTTTACGTTAGAAATTTGGAAAGTAGCAAAAATTCAGTTACCATTGAAGATGAATCCTCCGTTTAGGGAATGGTTATTTGCTACTCTTCAACTGCTACATCCAAATAAGCTATGCTTTATGACGGTTGCTACTTGGGCTATATGGTTTAACAGGAACAAAGTTCGTTTAGGTGAAGTATCTCAGACACCACAGGGAAAGGAGATTTCTCTTTCTTTTGAAGTTTAAAGAAGCTAAGGAAAGAAAAGACTAGATTTGGTTGCTGCTGTTGTTCCTCGTAGCTAGATGGTTTGGAGTAGCTAGGTTGCTATCCTAGTATCGAGGTTGTTTGTAGTAGGAATTCCTATCTGAGTTGCTAGTGAGTTCTCTCTTGCTGGCTTTCTAGTTCTTCAAGGTTATAGAAGACGCAGACGAGCATCTTGTCTCTTATCATCTTTCATCTTCTCTTCTCGTCTTCTCCTATAGGGCTAGAGCTTCCCTTCCTTCATAAGCTAATAAGAGATTCTATTATTCTATAATATGACTTGTATTACTTGTATTTCTTCTCCTAGTTAGTTCTCTACCAGTTATGTCTTAGATGTTTGCTAAGCTCTTTATGAACGAAGTGAGACTATTACGGTCGGGTAGAAGCACTAACTTTCTGTCTATTGGCCCGTTGAGGAGGTTAACGACTACAATGAGTGAGTAGCCTCCGCTAGGAGGAGATGAAAGAGCTGCTTGGCATCCCTCGTGGTTGGAATGAATTCGTGCATTCATGCCCGATTTTCCGCTCATAGGCTCAGCAGGAGATGCCTCTGAATCATCATCAGGGATATCCAGTGGAGCCACGGGAACCCCATTTCCCTGCCTGTTCAAGGCACCTTTGTATGAAACTTCTGCGTTGCTATTGGCCCGTCCCTTTTCAACCCATGATAACTATCACGAAATGAAATATTGAATCCTCATTCTAATCTAGGTAGTCATCCACTTCGAATCGAATAGTAAGTAAATCCGTACCCCAGACTATGGTACGTGCCGTACCTACTAATCTGTCTACATGGTTCATTGGCCGGCTTCCCCACTACTAATGACGAACCCCCGGTATTCCCATCAAGACTCCCAGCCTTTGACCATTCGGTTTGAGCCGAACATTCTTTTGAAAATGCTAACGAAGAAAAATGAGGCCTCCTCAGGGAACCAGCAGAAAGGCTCTCAAAAGCAGGCGCGTACCAAGCCAAGGGCTAGGGCTTTATCCGAACAAGGACTCCCGCGGGGTAGAAGGGAGGGCTTCCACAGAGTCTGACGGAGGAAAAAGAGAAGTAGTAAGCTCGGCAGAGCGAAGGAAAAGCCTTCAGAGAGCGGGGGTAGGCCGGAAGAAAGAAGTCGGGAAGCGACATTACGTTGAAGGATCTCGAAGGTGGTTGAAGACACATTCCTTATTCTCTCTTTCTTTGAATTACTCGATCTTATTGACTATTCAAATCACTCTTTTCTTTATCCGTTCGAGAAAGCTCATTCGGGATGCTTTGATCCTTCTTTCATTCTTTAGAGGGGAGTCAGTCGTCATGGAAAAAGCATAACAGATTTACATTCGTGGACCTGGAAAGGGGGTCAACGTGCATGTCATATACGATGGAATGAGATAGATCCCATTCTAACCCCCACCTGGCTGCTCAATACCAACCATTAGAGGTGAGGAAGATGGATCAAACTTCCCAAGGGGATAGGAACGTACTGAATCAACGGGCAGGCAGACAGGACTTTAGCGAACGAGTAATCTCCAATTCCCGCTAATCACTCTACTCCTCCTGCGAACCATTGATGAGCCAGCCGAGCTTGTTTGTTTAGTTTGGTTTTGTCTTTCTCTGAGTAATGCCCTAAGGTTTGATATCCGGGGTCAAAAAATGAGCTAAGCGCCGAGCGAAGAACCGTACCAAGGTGAGTACAGGGATGTGGTGAAGCATACCGAGAGAAAAAGCACTGAAATGAACCATATCGAGCACGGGTCTCACTCTACAAGTTCAGTTCGATGCCTTTTAAGGGGATTTGATCTAATAGGGAACGAGACTGAAGTGATCCCGAGCGGAAGGGAGGACCCCTAATTCGTGGGCTGAGTTCGAATAATATGCACTGAGTACTCGAACATAGTAATAGAGAGGGGTAACGACTAGGGAGTTGGAAGACTTTTGTGCTAGTTCAGTTCTTCTGATTCAACAAAGTACTCGTACTCATTTAGTAGAGTTGTTGACCATAGATAAGGAATGGTACGTACGCACGTATAACATCATATCATGCTGCCTTTTTCTTTCTCATTCCCAAAGCAAGCATCTTTGCCCACTTACCGGCCTCGTTCGTAGGCCTAGCCCACTACCCCACCTGACTGATTTGTCTCAGAGGGTACTGTTTCAAGTTGTAAAACCACTCCGTTACCAGAGGGAGAAGACGAAAGCACAGCCATACGGGGAGGTTCGTAAGGCCAGTGAGGGCGAGTGAAAGGACTCAAGCAAGGCCCATACCATCCGGTCACGTCTCTTGGTCCGAGGGGGCGCCAGAAAAGGGGGATAGAAGAAGCACCCCGAGAGGGAAGGGAAGGATGTGTCTGGTGGACAAGTACCTTAAGTGACAGTTCAATCATAATCTTAATAAGTAAAGGAAATCGTTTTGTGTCCATCTACGGAAGAAGGCTCGTCTCAAAGAAAATTTGGATTCTAGGTCCAGATGTGGTAGAAAGAAGGGCTTAAGACAGATAAGGAATAGTAAGAGTTAATAGACTGCCTCACTAATAATCTTCCTTATCGTACTACTGTACACAACTAGAAAAGGGGCAACAACTCTTTTTAAAAGAAGGAACCAAGGGATTCGCCGGGCTAGGGGTAGAAGGAAATCACGGGGATGTCCTATTCCCCTATCTGTATATTGTAGTAATTGGTATCTCGCTTGGCGCACTTGCTCTCTCAAGATGACATCATAGAAAGATTTAGGTCTTCCTGATCCCAGTCTTGCGCATCTCTTCTTAGAGGGTAGTATCGAGAAGGCGTGGGCCCATTGAAAGCCCAGGGAATAATTCCTTAAACAGATAAAAAATAGTAAAGTCCAAGGGGGTATGATCCCAATAAAGAAAGAAAGAAAGATAGGAAAGAAAGAAAGAAAGATAGGAAAGAAAGAAAGATAGGATGGATTTTCAGTAATTGTGGACGAAGCAGCGGGCATACCAGAAATGGATTGTCAGGAATGGTAGATGGAACAAGGATGCATAGCAGGCTTAAAACACGACACAAGTAGGACGCGCTGAGGCCGAGCTTTCCTCTACTACTCATTGGAGCTAGCATACGAAATTTTCCGTTGAAGGGTTCCACTATCAGGGCGGCCCTTGCGAGCGATATTCACTTTCAAGAGTCATGAGCCTACGCCTATACTCTCGAAGAGTTCATCAAAGAGCTAAGGGATGAGAGGAGGTGGAATTTCTTTCAACTAGAACATTTATTACAACATCTTAAAACACTTAATATTACAGAAAATGACAGAGAATTCGGATAGTTCGGCTAAGAGCAGGAGATGAGCTTCGGGCCGCAACGAAGCAGATCCGTCTGCCCTGCTCAATGCAACAATCTATTCTCTGGCCGGAGCTATTAAATCAAAGTCTCATAGAAGTCTTCCATACTCCCTTTTTTGAAATACCAATTCTTTCTTTCCGCGAACTTTTCTAGTGTTGAAAGCCAAAGGAAAAGGAGAAACTGAGAATCGAGTTGGAGAAACCCGCAATCAATCCATCTACATAGAAAGGAGAAACAAGAAAGGAAAGGCTCAATGTTGAATTGAGATCTCATTAGTCCGGTAAAGATCGAGTCCAGTTATAAAGGGAAGAATATCAATAGAATGGCTGAACAATATGACCAGTACCCATCGATGCTAGCAGGGGATTTCCATGATTTCTTTAGGTTGGAAGATAGAAGGAGTTTCAGAAACGACACTACGTCTAATCGTAGGAGAGCTGAGAAGTTTGCATCAAATTTCATCGTTGTGGTCTAATGGATTTGGCATGCTGTAGTCCTAGACCACTTGGACCAATGGTAGGGAAGGGTTAGCTAAGACGCTGCTTCGATTGGATCTAGCCTTACCTTAGTAAAGTAGAAGTTGAAAGAGATTTTACCATAAGCTGTGGTTGGAAACATCCCTCGTACCACCTCAGACTACTATCCTATGATCATTTACATGGAAGGTATGCATTCTGCTAAACCCTCTAATCGTCCCTTCAGGTGTGAAGCTGTCTGGTTCTCTCATCCGCACTTTAGAAAGATTATTTGGAATACCTGGGAAAAGGAAAGGGTTTAAGCTATATAAAAGCCTCTAACTTAGATAAAGACAATAATGTCTTCTAGTTGCGTCTGCTTATAGGATAGCGCCCGCAGGGAGTTCCTATTACAGAAGGGGATGGGACTAGGAGGCTTTGCATACAGACTAGTAACATCTCTTAGATGGCTGCCTTCTACTTACATATTACATAAGGACTCACCCTAGGAAAGGATTTGATTCATACCCAGACTAGTCCTACCTTCTGCTTCTGAACCTCCTGATTTAATACCCTTTGAATAGCTACAAAGAAAGAAGGGCTTCAATCGAGTCACGACACGAAAAGAATAGAAGCTTTCTCATGCGGGTTAGGAACTTAAAGAGAGGGAAGAAGCTCTTAGATTAGAAAGGGAAAGGACAGGAGTCTCACTCTTCACTTCTTGGCTGGGAGTTGATTCCCGGAGTGACGGAAGAATAAGAGTAGCGGTGGGAAGACTCCTGATGCTTTCAGGCTTATGTTGGGGTTAACTGAACCCAAAGAAAGCCTAAAAGAATCCCTATATTCCAGCTTAACAAGGTTAGTGTAATATGCTCGACTAAGGGGAAAGAGGAAAGGAAAGAAGGTTAGCCGAGCACGGATCTGGGCTTAAGGCAAGGAGTGCACTGATAGCACTAGTCGAAGAAAGGCAGTTAGATCATAAGAAGGCGGGTAGGTAAGAATAGGAAGTTTAGAGGAGTGAAGGGGTTTAGGAGGGACTAAAACACAGCTAGCTAAGTATATTGTATTCCAATATAACAATCTAACTAGGGTTGTAAAATCTTTGACTTCTGGAAGAAGGTTTGGTAAAGCGAAATCTCTAACTTCATCTGTAAGAGAAGAGTACAGAGTAGCTGGAAAGTTTAACTCGACTGAAGGCATTGGCGAGACTAAAAGCACTAAAAGTAAGGTAAGGGAGGTTGCCAGCTTGACTTCGCCTCCACGGCACGGAGGTCATCCAGTTAGTTTAGGAGAGAAGCTCTTGGGGTGGGGAGGATAGGAAATGAAAACGAATCAGTCCGGTAGAAAAGTATGTAACTGGTACCAAGACTTTACTTCTAATGCAGGTAAGCAGAAGCTAACTCGAAAATCTTTGTGGAGTTAACGTTGACCCAGTGGCTAGAAGTTCCATTTCAAATGGATTGACTAAGAGGATCTTGAGCCAGATAGGAAAGATTCCTCGCCAAGGTGTCTAAGCAGATGCTGACACAACGTTTGAAGAAAGCTCGACTCATAGGGTTGGGGGCAAGACTCAGCCTCTAAACTCTAAACCAAAGATTCTCCTTCAGTAGATTCGTAGCAAGGAGATTCCTCAATAAAATCTTGATTCTGAAAGAACTAAAAAGGGAGTGGGGTATTCGAATTCGACCGAAGCAAAGGTTCTTTTCCACGAGTACTAAACCGGGGCATAAAGCCCTTTTCTTTCATCACAGGAAAGTAGGGTAGGGAACTGGTCTTTTGGATATGTCTTACCGGAAAGAAGCTCGACTGAAAGCAGGTGCTAACTCGATCCCGATTCTCTTTCAAAGGAGGTGCCATATCCCGCGAAGGGTGAGAAAAGACGTGGCTAACTCGACAGAGGAAGGAGCTATCGGAAGGGAAGGAGAGCGAGGGCTCAGCCAAAGACAGAGGATCTGTATAGGATAAACCGCAGGGAGAGAAGATGAAAGATTCTCAACTAATACAGAGGACGGGGCATACCCTGGGACTTGCTAACTCAACCTTAAAAGCTGTTCTCTTATAAATTAGCTGGGGAGGAAAAGGGAGAGTCGACTTGGCTTGGATTATCCAACAGCGGATGCAAACGAAGAAAGCAAAGCGTTAGGATAGGAATTACAAGGAGCAAGCTTTGAAGCTAACTCGACAAAGCCTGATAGGAAAAG